CCTGAACATGGATGTCAATAAGGAGGCCTCTGCACTCCAGGGAGCCTCTGGTGGTGGATTAGTATTTTTCCCTGGTGCAAGAAGGGACTTTGAGAGCCCATCCCACGTGAAGGGTTACACTCTGGCCCTGGACACATGGGGAAGGGCCCAGGACCAGCACAGGAAGATTTGGTGTACTTTGCAGAGCCAACGTTGAGGGCCCTAACTGCCTGAGGAGTGGTGAGTGGATGGGGTTGTGGTGTACTGGGGGTGGGTGAGGGGGAATGGAGGTGAGGGGAGGGAGAGGGAGAAGGGACTTGAAACAAGCTTGTTCCCTAACTAGAACTAATAAATAAATTAAAAAAAAAAGAGTTAGTGGGACAAGCCTAAGCTATAGGCTGAGTTTTCATAATTAATAAGCCTTTGTGTCATTTTTGGGGGAACTGGCTGGCAGGAGAGAGAGAGAAAGACTCATTATAATAAATATTTTAATTTTTTTTTTTTTTTTGGTTTTCTGAGGCAGGGTTTGTCTGTGATTTTGGAGGCTGTACTGGAACTAACTATTGTAGACCACGCTGGTCTGGAACTCAAGACATCTTCTTGCCCCTGTCTCCCCAAATGCTGGGATTAAAGGGTGTGAGCCACCACCACCACCACCACCCAGCTACATATTTTAATTTTATCACTTATAAGATATCTAATATATACAAAGCAAAAACACATATCTCTTAATTTTTGTAGTAAACTTATCAAGTATGTATTATTCCTAAATACCCCAATTGCTCTTTGGGTATCATTCCTTCAGTGGGCAGGATTATGAAGTAAAGTCCCTTCAGGTATGTTCTAAGAAACCAGGCATAAAGCTCCTGTCTGGAGGTCTTTGGACATGTGAGTAGATGTGGTAGATTCTCGCATCAGCTTACCTAGAAGCAGATGTTTGAGGCCAGTGATCTCCAATGGCACAGTGGAGGAAGCTGACAATTTCTATAACCCAGTCCCAAGGGTGTCATATGTCAATCTTTCCTTAGGCTAGGAGGGTAGAACTGCTTCTATCAGTTTCTTCACCTTATATGTTACCATAGGAACAGTACTATTACAGATGTAATCTGCAACATCAGCTTTTATATGGATTCTGGGGATGCAAACTCTGGTCCATGCACTTATGACACAAGTGCTTTCTTTACCCACTGGGCCATTTTTCAGTCCTCAATGGATTTTTTTCCTGATAGTACTGGGTCTTGAACCTATGATATCGTGCTTGCTAAGTAATCACTCTACCATTGACCTACAGCCGCAACCCAACATTTTAAACAAGTATTTATTTAGCAAAGACAAAGTAATTGCATGGCAAATAATGAGTACTATGCAGAGATCTTGGAGTGAGCTGACTCAGGCTCTCTTGAAGGTCCATATTAAGGAGAATATTGTAAATTCTTATGAGAGGCTTGGCCATATTCTTGCGGTTAATATGATGCTTTTAAAATAGCAGACCCAGATCTCCAAAGAATAGTGGACCAGATCTTTAATTTTGGAAATTTTTCCATGATTCTCTTGAAAATCCCACAAATGATGCATCAATGTCTCTGTGATGTGATAGGGGAGGTCCTTCTCTGTATATGTTTATCTTATTGGTTTTTAAATAAAGCACTGTTTGCCAATAGGGAAGCAAGATAGGTGGGACTAGGAGTAGAGGAGGATTCTGGGAAATGCAGTTAAGAAAAGTCTTGTGATCCAGGCAGGAAGTGACATAGGAGGCAGACTCAGAATATAATCAGGGACAAGAAGGAAATTGCTCTCTTCCTCTTCCTCTCTTCTCTGTGGAGAAGTCGCCATGTGATCCTGGGAAGAGGATGCATTCGGCCAGCATTCTCAATAAGATAAGTCTTTGAACTTAAAAAAATTAGTGGTTATGGTTGATACTTAAGACAGAGCTAGCAGATTAAGAAATCCTGTTATTGGCCAGCAGTATTGTAATTAATATTAGACTCTGTGTGTTATTTTGGGCACCCACATGGCAGCAGGGTTCGGGCGGCTAACGAAAAGATTTCTCCTTACAGTGATGTGATGAGGGCTCACACCCTTCAGGGTTCATATGTGAAGCAACTGCCAATGACCCCTGAGCCCTTACTTTCTGATATGGTAGAAGAAACATAGATGCATCTTTGGAAATGTGTAACTACAAAGGGTGATTAGTTTTGTGATTAGTCAGGAGACAACCACACAAACACAACTGTAGTGTCCTTGATTGTCTGGTATACATAACTCCTGGTTTAACTGACTTCAGTAACAGCATGGTTAGTTTCTGCTGAGAGTCCTCCCTCTTCCTGGCTTGCTGACAGCTGCCATCTTATGGTATTATCACATGGTGCAGAGATAGCTTTCTGCAGTCTTTCCCTGTTGCATGTGATACTAGGTTGCATCCATATGCTCTCCTCTAACCTGCATAAGTTCCTGGAAGACCGTATCCCCAGTATACTAACAGACCATTAAGGTTTCAACTTAAGGATGTGGACCTGTGTGACACAATTTGGTCCACAGCACTGAAGCACACAAGACTTCAAGATATGACTCTAGCAGTAATGCTGTTTATGCAAAGGAATATCTCCTCTTCTTCACATTCATTTGGATCTTGGGTTACTTTTCTATTATTGGTATCTTTCATACCTGAGCACTCATTCTTAATTTTTGTTGACTCTTCTACCATAGTGACTCTCATATTTGTCTTCTCACCCTCTGAATGCTGTACATGTTGCTGAACCTTCAGTACAGAGTGAGAAAAGACACCTTCTCTAGCATGTTAGCATACAACAGACTGCTCTAGAAAGGAGCTGCCATGTGGGTGCCCAAAATAACACACAGAGTCTAATATTAATTACAATACTGCTGGCCAATAACAGGATTTCTTAATCTGCTAGCTCTGTCTTAAGTATCAACCATAACCACTAATCTATATATTTTCAAAGACTTATCTTATTGAGAATGCTGGCCGAATGCATCCTCTTCCCAAATACTATAATACTGACACAGATAAAGTTCAGGAAAGAGGATCCACATAGTACATGGCTTCTTTACTATACATCAATGGTAGTATGTCTATTTTGGCAGCCGTAGGTCTGGCTATACCTGTGATCTGCCTTCACAGACAAAATGGAATAATGCTGTGCAAGGTATGGAGGACAGTTACACACAAGCCCCTCTGAGCCTTGGAATGGCCTGCCCAGGTAGCTGTAGCTACGACATGGGAGACTAGACTGGTCACTGAATGACATATAGGAATGAAGGCAAGTGAGAGCTGGTGCCAAGGTCCCAGCAACACAGTGCCATCTTGGGCCCTGTAGTCCAGATGGAGCCCTTATGCAGATATGCTGTATACATACATGCATGAATTGATTTTTCTCCACTGGTACTCTAGCCCAAGGTCTTGTGCAGGTTTGTCAGGGCATTTTCTGCAAAGCTATACTCCAGATCCAGAGCATATATTATTGTCTGCTTTGATGAGTGAAGCTCAGACCCTTTTCCTTGTGATGGTTCTGCTGTTCTCTCTCTCTCTCTCTCTCTCTCTCTCTCTCTCTCTCTCTCATCCCTGATCCCTGCTCTTCTCTAATTGCTTGCTATGGACAGTTGTATACTTTTAGAAACAATTAAAATTTATTAAGAGAAAAACATTGTAATCATAGCACCTTGGAGACTGAGGCAGTAACATTACAAATTACAGGCAATCTGTGCTTTTCTTGGTATACTTTGTATTGCCATGATAGAAGCCATGGTTAAAAGCTACTTGGAGAAGACCATGGTTATTTCATTTACCACTGGGAGGTTTAGGCAAGAAACTGGAGGCAGCAATTGAAGAACAGACAACAGAGGAATGCTGCTTACTAGCTTGTTCTCCATGACTTGATCTGCCTGCTTCCTTATACAATCCATGACCACCCACCCAGATGTGGCACTGCCCACAGTGGGCTGGACCCTCCCACACCAATCATTAACCATAAACTGCTCTATAGACTTGACTACAGGCCAATCTAAAGGAGGCAATTCCTCAATTGTGGTTCTCCTTTTCCAGTTGAGTCTAGCTTCTGTCAAGTTAAGAAAAAAACTGAGCAGTGCATGGGAATAAAACAATTTCCAGTATAGCCTAGTGTACAAAATGGGAATCTGAGTCAAAGTACATCCCCCAAACATCCTACAATACCCTAGCAAAAACAAATTCTGAGGTGGACACAGTACCATGAGTGCATGAACGTAATCTCTCTCTCTCCCTCTATTCCTCTCTCTCATTCTCTCCTATAATTCTTAGTTCTGGAGACTGTGGAAAGTATATGAGAAATTTTATGTCAGGCAAATTTAATGAGATCAGGCTTAAAAATGAAAATGGCTATGGGTGTATGTAGTAATGGTTAATTTTCACTGTAAACTTGATTAGATTCAGAAAAGCCCAGGAAATTAGCAAAGTTTACCACTATGTGCATATATATGACGCTTTGCCCAGAGATAATGAGATTTTGAGGGCTTGGGCCTGGTCAATGCATGAATCCCTTGATGGGTTCATTAAGTGAAGGCATTACTGAAAGGTGGTAAAAAGATAGTGATCGGGCCTCTTGGCAGGAAGTCAGTGACTATGGGATTTACCTGAGATTAGATGTTGCCCTGACTCCTTCATATTCTCTGCTTTTTTCCTCCTTAGTGTCCAAGAAAAACTGAAGAAAACTCTCTGGAATATATTCCTATCACATTCTGTTCATCCCAAGTTTACGGCAAATGCAAACCTGAACTTAGAAATCTCAAACTGTGAGCCCCAAAAGAGGCTTTCCAGTTGAAATTATTTTCCCATGCTTTTGGTCAGAGTGATGAGGACACTAACTGATCAAATATAACTCAATGGTAGAAATCTTGTGTGACATACAGGAGATACTGTCTTAAATCATGGAAGTGTACCACAAAATTATTACCAAAGAAGGATGAGCCTGGAAAATGCCAGTGTCCTATCATGACATCACATCTGTTCTATATTGGGTCACACCTTCATGGCAGGAGAGCTGGGTATTGGGAAACATGCAGCCAGAGTCCCCTGCTTCACAGAATTTGCATCTGGCACCTGGGGAGAGGCAATAAAAGAGGGGAAGCGGAAAGAGATTAGAGAAAGGGATCTCCCACTACTAGAAAGAACATTATTAAAAAACATTTCTCAAGGCAGACAAAGTAGGCTCAATGGCTAAAGGTGATCGATACCAAGCCTAGCAATCCCAGTTCAATCCACAGAAGTTGCATGGTAGGAGAAGTAAACTGATTACACCAAGTTGTCTTCTGACCCCTGGCAGGTACTTTCCTCAAATTGCATAAAAATAAATTTTCTGTCATGATAAGTATCTTTGAGGCGCCCTTCTTGTGGATACCTCAAGTGTCAGACAATCTATGAATTCCTTGTTTTCATGGAAAAGCAAAAGCAAATCTTCCTTGTGTCTTTTCTTTGCATTCTCCATATTCTCATGGAGAATAACATGACAGCCCATGTTTCCCTGGCTCTTATTGCTTCTCTGCCAACTCCCTTCTGCACACTTTACCTAGCTCTCTCTCTCACTCTCTCCTCCCTACCCCACTGCCCACAGCACTCTTGAGCCTACTTCCTGCATTCCCTCTCATTCAGGACTCCTTATCTTAGAAAATGGCCTCAAACCAGATATTAGGAACATAACCTAGACACATTCAATTCTCCCTCCCCTATCATGCACACTTCCCTTTGATGTTCCTGCCAGTCCAGTGAGACCCCAACTATGCTTCCCTGCAGATGGTACATACCTCTGGGAGCTGTGGCAAGATGTCTCAGATCTGTCTGGGTCCCCAGCTCTCATCTAGGGTAGGATGAAAGTTATGCTAGGTACCACCTCCACTTGGGCAGGATTATTTGTCTGCCCAACATACCTCCATGTCTCATCCAGCCCGAGGACATGACTCCACATAGTGGGTGTTTGTTTAAAGAATAACAACTTTAGTACAGCAACCATGTCTCTAAAGGCTGTCCCTACAAGAGTAAGCAGAGTCAATAGTGCAAATGTCTACTGTTAGTGACTGTGACGCGGTACATGAATATAGGACTTTGAAATGTGTCAATTGCACCAGACAGAAAACTTGAGAAGATCTCAGACTCACTTGTAGTAGGGAAAGCTAGTGACAGATGTTCACAGTGGTAACCTTTGTGAGCAACTTCAGAGAGAAGTTTGACTTCCTTTAATAGTTCCATCATAGGATGGACAAGAGGAGGGATGCTTTGTGCAAGGGACAGCCAATAGTTGCTTCATAAGTGTGGGGACACACAGAAATGCTGATTGTTAATTTTTATTTCTCAACAGGACATTAACATCTTACAGGGTGCTTATCACAGTAAAAACAATGATCACAGAGTTATTGGTATCTTTGTAACAGCAGTGCTGTGAGGGTGGTTCACAGAAATAAGAACAATGCTTACAGTTCACAATTTAGTGAGGAAAATACTTATAGAAGGAATGTGGTAAGAGTGATGCATATAGAGTTCTTGGAACATATGAAGAAAAATGCTAATGAACTGGTGAAAACAATAACAATAGTGGCAGTGCTTAATGAAATAAAAAGAGGTTAAGAGAGGTCCTAGACATACTAAGAAAAGTGCTTATAGAGTAAATAGCATACAACCAGTGCTATGAGAGGGACACACAAAAAGAGCAATGCTAACATTGACACATGGTAGGACCAATTTTCAAAACCGTCCTTGACATGTAAAAAGTAAAATGTTGCTTAAATTTCACTGCTGAGAATTTTACTTTTTGATGCTTAGGATTTCACAGTTTTTCTCATAATCCTAATGCCCATCATGTTCTTCAAATCACAGGCTTATTTCTCCTGTCTGGGACAGAGACAAAGGGAAAAAAAGGAAAGCAAGTGTCAGATTGGACTGCCCACTCAGTGTTCAACTCCCCTTCCTTCACGGCAAAGCATACATGCCCTCCTTCTGCACGAACCTTGGAATCTGCTCTCCAAGTCAAGCCTCTGATCTAGAGTACAGTGACTGTCTGACTTGGTTTCTGAATTCTTTGTTCAGAGGAAGGTGCAGCCTGCACATTAAGAGCTGACCTGGGATTTGGGATCCTGCAGCATTCTGGGTAGGAAAGGTTTCTAATATAATTGATAGGGAGTAGAGAAAGCATGGGATATTGCATTTACCTGTTATGATACACCCCAAAGGACTAGATGTGGATGATTGGCAGGTCCCAGTGACCATGGGGAATCCAATATTATATGAGAAAGGTGTATGTCCCAGGGTGTGCAAATTGTGTCAGAGGGTCACTTACAGGTCCAGCCTTTCTCTTCTTCATCTTCATCCTCTTCTTCCGGGTCACTGATCTCTTCATATATCACTGGCTTCTTCCTTTCCCTTAACCTGTGGCTCCATACGCTCAACTTACTTTCATTGCGTTCTGAGATAGGGGTAGTACATGAGAGCAGGTGGAGAAAGGGTTTCAGGGTCTTTATGTCAGAAAAGTACAGGGTTTGGTCCTCACTTGTGCCCGTGGGCTTTTTTCAAGCACAAGTTTTTAACATCTTCTGGCACAAACAGTCTGAGACTACAGGTTATCCCAAATTTGGACCAAAGACCACTTCAGTGAGGATCATCCCCTGGGACCTATTTCATCCAGGATGTATCTGAAGGTGTATATTATAGATGCAGCACTGACCGGAGTGAGATACTTACCAGTGATCATGTGGGACAGAATGCATGAGGAAGGGTTGATTTAGCTTCGTGGTGTTGGAATTTTTCCAGTATGAACTTTTTAATGTAAAAACAGAAACAACAAAGTGGCAACAACAAAACCACCTTGCAGATATCAAGTTCCAAATTTCTGAATATATTCTTTTTATGGTGGGAGCCCGTGGAGCATGCTTAACTGTAGAGTCACAGGTCTGTGGGGGCACTTTTTGATTGTATATTTTCTGTTTTGAACTGAGAAGCCAGAAAGAAGAGCAAAGGAACATATTTGGCCTCGTTGTTGATGATTGTGTGTGTTAATCAAATACACAAAGTCTGTGCGATTGAAGGTCACTTGGCAGCTCAAGCCTGTAATCCCAACATTCAGGAAATTAAGGCAAAGAGTTGCTCTAAATCTGCGGCCAGCTGAGAGTTATAGCAGGAAGAGTAGTCCTAAAAATTCCATGCTATTTTCTATGTTCAATTTTAACCTATATTCTATTTCTTACCTGAGCAGTAAGACATGTTTATTCGTTCATTTGTCTCTGTGTGTGTGCATGTAGAATAGGAAAACAACTATTCTCTGCTAGGTGTGGTCTGTTTGCCTCTAAACCCTGCTACCTGGGATAATGAGACAGAATGTTTCTTTGAGATTAGGAATTCAATACCACCATGGAAATAATATAAACTGTGTTTCTGAACATATGATGAGGTAACTCCTTTCCTAGCTACACATACAGAATAAATTTTACTGGAGTAAAAATGTATTTCCTTTATATATTTTAATATAATGATGGCTAATATTTATCTTTATTAGATTTGAATGTGAAGTTATGATGCTGATTCTGAAGGTTTAGACAGATTTATTGTCTAAAATTATAATTACACCATGATTCATGAGCAGTATTTAGCAGGAAATACATAGCTTTAAGAAAGAAATATTTCAAGCATACAGATACTAATGGAGAATCACACTGAGTTCATTTGGAGCTCCACATTATCCCTCAAAGTGCTTTACATCTCTCTGATGTCTTTAAGCAAAGCAGCCACCACTAAAGCCATCTGATCAGTACTCAACACCCTCACCCTCCTTCCAGGTCCATTCAAGCATCTATGCATTTTCCGCTTACTTACAGCCAATGAAAATATACATTCTCCTTTTGCATGTTTTAGAATTTTATGTAGTGCCCAAGTGCGTAAGTTTTCAACACCTTTCTTCCTTCAGCTCTTACCTGAGGAATGGAAGATTTGTCTGTGACCTTCCCTGGCACTTTGACGGAAAAATTTTGCAAATAAAGCCCCTCCATGTCAACTTACCTTGACTTTCATGGCCACAACCTTCATCAGAATCACTGAGCACGGATTTTGTGGCCTTTTCCTTGGATTGCATGAAATCGGGGAGATGGGTTCTGAGGCCTAGAACAAAGCAAAATGTTTCTTCCTTATCAGACAACTGAGAAGAGGAATGTGGGGGGCAGGCACAGGGATGATGGCAAACAATGAATTTCACCAGAACAAAGGCCTACAGGAGAGAAAAGTGAAGGCTACAGGGATGATTGCCATGGTGCTGGCCTCTGCTTCCAGCCCTGCACAGAATGGAAAAGAGCAGAATGTTCTTGAAAAAGACACATGGGGGTGGGCCTAGGCCCTATCCCAAAGGATATGACAGACTCTGAAGACCCCCCCCCTATGGAAGGCCTCACCCTCCCTGGGGAGCAGAAAGCTTATGTGATAGGTAGGGTTTTAGTTGGGGGGGAGGGTAGAAGAGGAGGGGAGGGAGAGGGAAATATGATTGACATGTAAAGCAATCTTGTTTCTAATTCAAATAAAAAATGGGAAAAAAAAGAACATGGCAAGAGGCTGAGAAGAAACCATAGCATAGAAAGGGACTGGATGACACTCAGGCCTGTTCTGAACCCAGAACTTCCTCTTACCTAGTCTTGTCATGGTGGTATAGTTTCTTTTCATATACACATAGGTAATTTTCTCTGAATAGCTCATCTTTGCCCACTCTTCCTTAGAGAAGTATTTGGAAATATCCTCGAAGGCCTAGAAAAGAAGAGAAAATTCAATCTGGCAGCTAATCTTCTGTGCGTGTGTGCCATTCAGGCGAGACTATTTCCTTGGCTCCCAGACCTCTGTGGTACATTTGGGAATTGGGGAAAACTCCTGATGGACGATTTGAGATCAGAGTGATGCTGTGGACAGACTGTCCAGCCTGTTCCTTAGCATGCAATAGAGATTTGTGCTGCTTGGTTGCTCTCCTCCCACCTTCAAGAAGGGTATGACAGTTGCCAAACTAGAGAAGCAGAAGACTTGCTGACTTCAGAGATGCTTGGGAAGGATCCTCTGACTTTAGGTTTCCTACTGTATCCATGCTACTTTTCCCCAGTGCTTCTGCAGGCACCTACTGAGAAATGTAATTCTCCGGGCCACTCCTCTGCCCCATGAAGGTCACCTCACCTTGCATGTCTTCTCTGGATTATGCTCAGTTTTCTTGACGTTCACTGAACAAGACCTTCTTCTATTCATGGCACTGGGGATGCGATCTTGAAGGAAAGCTTGAATACTTCCAGTCTGTGGAGGACAGCATGAGCCAATCACCTGAAATGTAATTTTACTATTTTCCATTATGGCTTGTTTGTCCCCAAGGAATTACATGGATGGAAGTCAGGGGATAGACATATCTGTGTTAGGAATGAAAGGGTTTCTTTGGCATGGCAGAATTTGCTGTGAGACTCTGAGAGCAGGTCAGATACCGCTGCTACTAGTCCTCTGGGGTATGGCTTGATCTGAAGGGCATACAGAAAGTTCTTGGTGGATGAGTCAGGCAGACAGGATGGTCACCTCACATTTCATTGATAAGTGGCAGGGAAAAACTTTGATTTCACTGGGAGTCAAACAGTACTCACTGGTGATTGAGGAAGAAGGATAATAAGTACCAAATGCCATTAGAGAGGAGTAATGAGTAAGTGAGGTAAGCACAGTTTACAACTGATCACTTACTTTATGAAGTACTGAGTCAGAAGCCTGCAAACACAGACTTGGCAGGACAGGAAATATTAATTGTCCTGATTTGATGACAATGTGTTTTGTACATATCTTGACTTTTCACACTGTATTCATAAGCATGCAGCCATATTATATGTTCAGGACACAGGCAAAATCAGGAAATAATATCTCTTAGATAGTAGGGCTTGGGGTTGAACAACAGTTATCCAAGCACTGAAGCAAGTGAATGGGGAGTTCAAGGTCAGACTGGTTATATAAGTGAGACATGTCACAAACATGAAACATCAATCAAAAAATAAAAAAAGCACTTTTCAAGGGGCAGTTAAGTGAATGTGCACTATTTTTTTAGAGGTTCAAACTTAGCTTTCTAAAGCCAAAAAAGAAAAATGATGATTTTTTTTATAGTTAACACTTGTAATTATTAGTGTATTTTCATTTCATGATGATGGAATTTTTCTCTCCAGACATTTTTACCTTCCTTTTATTTTAAAACAAAAAATGAACATGAGTGTGTATGTTGCATATGTGCATGGAGACCAGGGATCAATCTCATGTGTCATGCCCCAGGAGCCATTCACTTTGTTTTTTAATTCAGTGTCTCTCCCTGGGACTTAGGACTTGCTGACCAGGGAGCATCAGAAAGGCAGCTCATGGAGACCAGGGATCAATCTCATGTGTCATGCCCCAGGAGCCATTCACTTTGTTTTTTAATTCAGTGTCTCTCCCTGGGACTTAGTACTTGCTGACCAGGGAGCTTCAGAATGTCATCTGTCTCATCCTCTCCAGAGAATTGATGACAAGTGCCTGTCCTCTTTCCCAGCTTTGAGCTTTGACCTGACTGCTGGAGATGGAACTTGGGTCCTCATGCTGGCAGCGGAAGCTCTTTATCAACTGAGCTATTTCCTCAAACCACTCAACATCTTAACACACACAAACACACACACACACACACACACACACACACACACACACACAGGCACGCACGCACGCACACACATATACATATTTTTTACACACTGACATTTCATTCTATGTATGTGTGTCAATCTATGTGTAGGTTCTTGATTTTGCCTTTAAGTCTGAATTTTGCTATGATGCCCTTGCTGACCCCAACTCCCTGATTCAAGGTGTTTTCTGTCTCAGTGCTGAATGGATTAGACTTACAGGTTTATGTGCTGGTGTGTCCCTCTGGAATGTAGTTTTGAATGTGATGTTCAAGGGAACAACAGTGATATGAGCTCTTGAAAGGATGAACTTTGGTTCACAAGGCAAGCAAAGCAATGTGTGTGAATTTAGGGTCTGTTACTGTGTTAATCTGGAAATTATCTGAATGAAAACAAGTAGAATCTGTGAGACAACATGACCAGGCATGACTCACAATGAGGAAATATAGGAAATATAAATCCTTTTAAATTTGAGCACCCAAGCCTTGCCTTGGAGACCAAGACAATTGGTACTTCATGCTGTCTGATGTAATATAGGAGCCCCTTGAGCAGAGGCCATTTTCTCATCTAGCACTGAGGAAAATTAGGAGCATGTGGCTGATTTAGGGATTTCTTGCACTGGGTGTAGTTTTGTTTCGCTC